ACTGTAGGTTGCCATCCCCGATGCCGAACTTGAGCTTCTCCAGGAAAGTCTTGTTCTCCATGAGATCCAGCGCATTGAACACATCGAACCCTTTCTGCATGGCAGTGGGGAGACGACAGGTAGGGTAGAGGTAGCCACCACACTCTTCTGCCCCACAACTGCCATCCTCAACAGGCCTCTCTGGGGCACCCTGCCTGCTCCCACTGTCCAACACCCCTCCCAGGAGCCCCTGGTGAGGTGGGACACATGAGCACCACCACAGCTATGACCAGGCCATTCCCAAGGCCCTGACTGGGCTGGTAGCTCTTGCAGGACACAGCCTAGTTGAGTGTTGTGTGCATATGTGCACGTGCATGCGCACATGCACACACACAAGCATGTGCGTGTGAGGCTCCAAGGGACTGCTACCTCACATCCTGAAGCCAGGGCTGTGGGACCCTGCCTGAGGATGCCAGGCTTGACACCCAGACTCAGCAGCTCCACCTGGTCACAGCTGCGGTGCTGTTCCATGGGTCACACCTCACCATGTTCTCCCCAAGAGTTGTGCCCATCCCTGCCCTTTTTCCGAGATGCCTGCCCACTCACCATTTTGGCGAGAACAAGGGCATCGCTCATGAGGTCGAGGAGAGGCGTCTGGGTGTGGACATTGTAGAAGGAGTAAGCCGCTTTCAGACTCTTGTGGGTTGGGTGGTTCATGATGGTGGAGGGAAGTGTATAGAAACTAAGAAAATCTGTCACCTCGCCGCTGGCATTCTGCAGGGGAACAAGAGGCCAGGTCCTGCCGAGTGGCACCACAGCCCGGGACGAGATGTTCTGTCCACCTGCACCCTGTGCCCAGCAGCTAAGCCCTCTGGCTGAGCAGGACGCAGGGAGAAGACACTGCAGCTCAGGGCCCTGGGGCAGAGCCAGGCTGGGTGGTGGGTGGGTATCTGGTGGCCTTCACCACTGAGCATCACTCTGACCTCATCTTCCTTTTTCTTTTAATTTTTATTTATTTGGTACAGGCTCTCGCTATGTGCTACCATGGCATGTGGTACCAGGGATTGAACCTGGGTCCTTGTACTTGCCAGGCAAGCACTTAGACCACCGGGCTATCTCCCCAGCCCTCATCTTCCTCTTTTGCTTGTTCTGAAACCAGGCCTCATTATGTGCCCAGGGTAGTTTTGAACTTGTGAGCTTAAGTGATTTTCCTACCTCTGCCTCCATCTCCAGGACTGCAGATGTGTGCATGGTGAACCATACCACAGGTGCAGCTCTGGACTCCCAGTGCAGAGGGCTCGAGCGCCCACTCAGGCCAGACCACGAGCACCTCCACCAACCACAAGCTTCAGCCTGGCTCTCGGAGTAGGAGGCCTGACTCACCTCTACCACGAAGGTGTCGATGATGTTCTCCTGGGGGTAGAACCAGTGCTCCACTTCCTCCTGGCTCATGACTGGGGTGAGGTGGAACTGCTTCAGGTACCGGGCGAGCAGCTGGTGCACAGCTGGAATGTCCTTTCTCTCCATTGGCCGCAGCCCAGCTGTCTTAGGGGTCTAGATGAAAGACGGAGGGACAGCATGAGATGTGCCCGTCACTGGGCCTGCCTTGGTATGACTACTACATGGGTCGTCACCCTGTGGTGTCCTCCTGCATCCCTGCTCCACTCCCTCCAAACTGGACCTCCCACACCGCAGCCCAAGCTGGCTGCTCTGGCTGTGCCTGGGGACACCCAGTCCTTCCAGCCCAGAGATTCTCACAAGAGGCAGCACAGGACAACATCTGGAGACCTTTCTGGTTACTGCAACTCTGGGAGGAGCTACTGGCACTGACAGCAGAGAAGCCAAGTGCCTGATCTGCATCTATAGTGCTCAGTACGTGCCACGCTGGGGAGCTGTCAGGCACCCAACTTCCTGGACTGCACGCGGACTGGTGCCCTGCCCTATAGCTACTGTCTCAGAATAAACTTCAGGTGAAGTCTCAGCCGCACTGCCTGGAGCTGCCTGACACAGAAACAGCTGCTGTGGTGTCAGGCCTGGCGCCACCCCGAGATGGCTCACAATCCCTGACCCACAGGAACATGAGACCTCATGTGCACGCAGCCCGAGGACAGCTTGAGCCCTGGACTGAAAACAGACACCCTGGGTTCTCTCCCCAAGAGGAAGCAGACACACAAGCTGTCCCAGTGCCCTAACACTGCTCCTCCCACCTAGGACAAGGTGCTATGCTCTGATGACAGAAGAGAAGCCCCACCAGGCCTCAGGGTCCTCTTGGCCACAGCACTGTCCAGAAGGGGCACTGCAGCTCCATCCACAGGCCACGGAGCCAGCAGCGGCCTTCTGAGCAGAGGCTTCCACAATGGTGCTGCTGGACAGCAACTGGAAGCACCCAAGCAGGAAGGGGTTGCAGGACTGCACCCCTGATCCTGAGGCACTGTGCCCAGGAAGCCAGGCTGAGACCCGGAAGTCAACACAGGCTTAGAGACCCGCATCCGCACAACTCCTGGCAAGCCTGTGTCCCTGCTCTGGAGTGCTGTGACGAGCGAGTGCCAGGTCAGGAAGTGGCTGTGTCTTCCCCTGAGTGCTCACTTGGGCCCTGAGCCGCCTCACAGACGGGGAGCAGGCGCAGGCACAGCCAAGCACCAGCTAACCAAACAGCAGCCACACAACAAGAGGCTCCAGTGGCTGCAGAGACCTCCCTGGTCCTTCTGACTTGGACCACGGCAGCCCTCCCGGCCCACCCCACCCGTGCCTGGGCACCACTGGCCTCTGGTAGCCGGTAGAGCTTCATGGTGCGCTGCATGGTCATGTTCCTGCTCAGGTGGGAGAACTTCACCTCAATCAGCTTCCGGGGGTTAAGGG